CAGAGGGGAAGGAAAAAAAAAAAAGCTCCGTCTCCGGCGCTGAAATCGGTTTAGCCGCCGCTAAGCCCGCTCCGCGCAGCCGAGGCGTGCAAGCTACCCACGCCAGAAAGCGCCGCGAAGGCTGTTCCGACCGACCCACGGCGGGGCGCGGGGATTTTGCAGGCAGCGCTTGAGCTGATAAAAAAAGAAACAAAGGCACGTTCGCGCTGTTTCCCCCGTCTAGAAATAACCTTCCTCCTGGACGTGCCAGGGGAGCCAGGAGACATTCTGCTGACTGGTGGTTTTTGGTTTGCCTTTTTTTTTTTTTTTCCCCTGCAATAGTATAAAATAAATTACATATAAAATTCAGCTGCCGCAAATGAACTTTAAGTTAATGCTGCGAAATAAAAAATATATGAATGTTTGGAGGGGTTAATTTTTTCCCCCTCGTGCTGGAAAAAAAAATAATCCCCTCGGATTGATGCTGCAAACCTGAATTCTTAGAAAATAACGTGTATGTCACAGCAATTCCCCGGCAAATGCAAACAGAAATAAACTTCGTGGAAAAAAAAAAAAATCCACGGCTTTCTGGCTAAATAATAGAAAGTAAACATTTTATTTAGGCATATTTTTGCATGCACTGGTTAAATCGAAATCAACTGAGCTGCAGCCACCTCTATTTTTGGCCGGCAACATTTCCATTTGGTTTAATTGCACATGTCTAATATTTAAACGTATTAAACCATGTTTCCCTGCTTACGGTAGTGTCATATACATTTCTCACCTTTTAGGTTCTGGCTCACAGGAGCCCCTGCGACTTTGACAGCTGTCGCTTTGGCTGCACAGGAGACGAATCGCCCTCCTTTTGGTGCCAGAAGAAGCAGGAAATTAGCCAGGTTGCAAGTTGAAAATCTGCCACGCCAGTGCTTTGAATCCAATATGCCACACCTTCCAGCGGGGGAACTGGAAATTGCCATCCCGGATCTGTGTTCTAGGCGGCTGCTTATGCCGAACCTCCGCACACTTTGTTCACTATTGCCTTACAAAGAACAAATGAAATGGGGATTGAAAGCCAGAGAGATCCGAAGCAGGACAGAGCTCAGCAAAAGAATGCGGCTCTATTCTCGCAAGGGAAATTATAAAAAAGTTCATGTTCACGGTTACCATCCACATGACCGACAACGACCAATGGAAAAACCGAACAACTCATAAAGTTGTATTGCAAAGTTGTAAATTTTCATAAACAACAACGGATTTATGGCCTTTTCCTCATCACTAAGAAGAGGCAGGTCTTAGAGAGGCGCCATCTTACCACAGAGGCAGCCCTGGAGTTTTTTAAAAGACCTGGAGTTTGTACTAATTTTATTAAAATTACAATTAGTACGTTGACCAGGAACGGAGTATAGTAGAAAAATGGAACTTCTGCTCAAATGATTCACTGCTTCTACCTGTATTTATCCGGCCGAATTTTTTTTTTTTTTTTTTTTTTTTTTTTAAAGATTGAAAATATTAGATCTCCTTGACATTACATGATACCTGGCAAAATTGACTTATTTTCTAAAGCGGGGCGATTTTCCCCCTTTTTAATGCTACCCTGATGCCCCCCGCTCCCCGACAGCCGCATGCACAAACCCCACACGTACCCGACCAGATCATTTACACTTGGAAGTTTCGCATCTCACTTTCTGTTCATTACAAAATATTATTTCACTACATGCGATTTCGGCTTGATCGCCGGCCGTCTGGACTGGCGTTATGATTGCAAGACGACACGGGAACAGGGTGGAAGGAAGCCCTCCCATAAAAAGGCTTTCCGCTTTATTAATCAACTGCGCTAGGGAAAAAAAAATAAAAAAATCACGAAGTCGTGATAGAGAAATTGACTGATTCCTATCAATTCATCACCTTACGGTTTTGTTGGTTTTTTTTCCTTCTGATTACGGGGGAAAAAAAAATAAAAAAGATTTATATGGTCTAATTTCTTTATTTGTATAAATTATTTTTTGATGCTTCCTTCGAACTGTTTCCCTAATAAATACACACGATTCATTGTCAACAAGCATATTTATTTTCTGTGTAACATAAAACACATTTATCGTGGGAGATACTTGTACACGGTATCACTTCCAAAGAGAGTTCACAGACATTTTTTTTTCCACTTCCAATACTTACACGGCATATCCAATTGTTCACAACGAACACATCGAAACACATTGTAACATACAATTTTTGAATAAACTTTAGCCAAACCTTCAAGACGGATTTATACAGAGTTCTTAACAATACATCATGCTACAAAGTTTCCAAATTAATTACATACTTCCCAATTTATGACATGATCTTACAAATGAGCTCCAAGACGAATATAAAAAAAAAAAAAAAAAAAAAAAAAAAAAAAAGAAAAAAGAAAAGAAATCGTTCAAATATACAGTATCTGCTATTGTAGGAAAATTCACGGTATTACATATTAACACATTCCGATAATCAGGACAAACAGTTTTTTTAAAGGTGGTTACATGGTCATTTAAATTCACTTTTCAAAGAATACTTTCCGCTATATTAAGTAAGATCAACCTAGAATAAGAAAACGGCCTTTAGCAGAGGCAGCCGAAGGTAGAAGCCAACGGGAGATATTAAACCGCTTTGTACAATATTGGCGTGTGTTTGCTTCCTCACTCGGAATAGTAAAGAATCGAGAACAAAGATATATTGCAGCATATGGTTTTCATTTATAATTGCTTTGGAATAAATATATTATTTTAAATTTAAATATATTCAGCCTTTCCGGTACCAAATTCTATACCAAAGCTATTGATGCGTGCTTTTCGAACGACTACACTTACATTTCTAAAAGCATTTTGCGATTCACATTAGTAATGTTATCTTCTTTTGACTACTAAAATACAGTATACTTTCGAAGATAGGTAGGCGGAGCAAGATATATAGGTAGTCTGGAAAATAGGTAGTACAAATCATTGCTGTAGATTGTAGTGGTTTGTGGAACATCTTTCCCCCCCACCCCCCTTACTTGTTTAACCTTTTGTTAGTGTAGCTGTTAGTTATGATACTTTTCTAACAATAATTACCAAAAAAAAAAAAAAAAAAGAAGAAGAAAAAAAGAGAAGTGCAGAGCTACTTATTAAAAATTAGGTAGTTTTTCTTAATGTGAGCCTAATGCACTTTTCCCCTTAGACACGATTGGGACTACTGAGTCAGGTAGTTACTTCGGAAGGTCACGGTTTACAATCTGTGCAAGCAGCAGTTCTCCCACTGAAATGTCCCCTGGACAAACCCACCCAGATTTGGGTGAATGAAAAAACAAATGATTGTAGGATGCTCTTAGGAGATATTGCCGAAAGGTTCGGCACAGGGCGGGTTTGGGGAGTACGGGAGAGTGGAGAGAAGGCTGGAAAACCACCCCAAGAAACGTTTTAATGTTTGCAAACGCTCGCTTGCAAGATGATTATTAAAGGGAACTGATTTTTTTTTTAAATAAAAACAGTGAGTCTTTTTTTTCTTTAAAGGGAGCTTTTCCAACTGTCATGTGCATACATTATACTAAGAGATCGCTTCCTCGAGTGGGACTCCTTAGTCCTCCTCCTCTTCGTCTTCTTCCACTTTCTCGACAGAGGCTGCTGCTGACGTGGGCTCGTTGGGAGCCGGAGTGCTGGAGCTCTCTTCCTTGTGCTCCTTCTTCCACTTCATCCTCCGGTTTTGGAACCAGATTTTGATCTGCCTCTCCGTCAGGCAGAGGGCATGGGCGATCTCTATCCGCCGCCTCCGAGTCAGATAACGATTGAAGTGGAATTCCTTCTCCAGCTCCAGCGTCTGGTAGCGGGTGTAGGTCTGGCGCCCTCGCTTCCTATCTGGACCTGAAAGCAGGCACAGACGGCCAGGAGTTAGGCAAGGAGGGGTGGAAAGTTTTCTCTTTTTAGTGTGTCTTCCCCCCTTAATAATATTATTATTTAAATAAACAAACAAACAAACCAAAAGCGGCCGAGCCAGAGTGAATGATCCCGTTCTCTCACTTCCACCCGCCCCCCCACTTTGCCCTAACAAAGACATTTCAGCCACACGACCTGCCCTGCTCAGGCAGGGAAAAAATTAAGTTGCTCGAGACCTAGAAAAAGTGAAGAGAAAGCATTTAGGAGAGGAGGTGGGGGAGGAAATTGCTTTTGGGAGGAGGAACTTCTCCCCAGGCGATGTATTTCCCTAAAACCTTCCAGACT